CCACTGTATTTAGTTTGGTTACTTATGGTTAAGGTTAGGGCTGGGATTAGGGTTATGTCCATAGAAATGAATGGTCGGTTCCCACAAAGACACCAACACAGACGTGTGTGTGTGTGTGTGTGTGTGTGTGTGTGTGTGTGTCGTAGGTTGCGGTGGTCAGCGCCTTTGCGCAGACGCTGCGCAGATACACCTCCCTGAACCATCTGGCGCAGGCGGCACGCGCAGTCCTACAGAACACCTCGCAGATCAACCAGATGCTCAGCGACCTCAACCGTGTGGACTTCGCCAACGTGCAGGTACCTTCCGTGCCGCATCCTCTCCCCGCGTCCCGCACCCCCCTGCTGGCGGCCTGAGCATGCCCCCCCCCCCTCACAGGAGCAGGCCTCGTGGGTGTGCCAGTGCAACGAGAGCGTGGTCCAGCAACTGGAGCAGGACTTCAAGGTGACGCTGCAGCAGCAGAGCTCTCTGGACCAGTGGGCCGCCTGGCTGGACAACGTGGTGAACCAGGTGCTGAAGCCACATGAAGGCAGCCCCAGCTTCCCCAGAGCCGCCCGACAGTTCCTGCTCAAGTGGTCTTTCTACAGGTACGGCCCCCGCTGTTCCCAGGTCTCGACTCCAGGGGGCGCCTGCTGGCGATCGGCTCTTTGATTAGAGGATTCATCATTCCGGCTGTTAGAAAATGCTGCATCCTTTAAGAGCCATTATTTTAAGAGGAATTCCCCTCTATATTCAGGTCTCATTAACTAAAAGAACCAAAAGAACCAAAATGAACCAAAAGAACTTTTGATTAATTGTGCTTGTGAAAAGGAGCATCGCTTAGGGCCGTAACACCAGACAGTTTCCGGCTGCTGACATTCCACAGATGAGCTGCACTTTTTGCACTGACTCCTTCACCCCCACTTAACGCCGAGGGCCAGCTGGCTCTGGGGAGGGGGTGAGGGGGTCGCACTAATGACCCTCTGCGCCTCCCCGCAGCTCCATGGTGATCCGCGACCTGACCCTGCGCAGCGCCGCCAGCTTCGGCTCCTTCCACCTCATCCGGCTGCTCTACGACGAGTACATGTTCTACCTGGTAGAGCACCGCGTCGCCCTGGCGACCGGGGAGACGCCCATCGCCGTCATGGGGGAGGTGTGCAGCGGGCCGCCGCTTTACATCGTGCTGATGGTATCGTTTAGCTTGTTATAGATTCTTCCCATTCATACCATGTTTTTCCCTTGTAGTTCAGTGATCTGAACTCCATGATGCCCATGCTTATGGATAAAGGTAAGCCCCGACATCCCCGACGCCCATTCGGTAGCTCGGGAGTCGCCTGGGCTCCTCCGTGATGTCGCCGCTCATTCCCCCTGTCGCCTATTACCCCCCCCAGAGCCGCCGTACCCTGACGACATGAGCGAGATGGGAAGCGATGGCGACACTTCCCAGAGGACCGGTGAGCCCACGGTCAAGAGAGAGCGTGTGGAGATCAATCACTCTCTGCAGGAGATCTGAGGGTAAAAAGGCGCTGGGCCAGCTGCCACAGCGCCCTCTGCAGGCCGGGAGGTCCACCAGAGGAGCAGCAGAAGCAGTGTATGGGGTCTCCATCTGGACTTTCTCTCCAAAGGGCCGTCCATCTCTCAGAGAAACAAGTGCTACTATGGGATTTTGTGGGACTTCACTAGGGGGTTGGTTCAGATTGTTACCCCCCCCCCCCAATTCCTCCTCTGTATTACAAATCAAACTGTGAATATAAGGACATACCTTGTACAGTACTCACTTTCTATACAAAGTACCCTTGTATGGTTGGTTGGTGGTTTGTGTACTATGTTTTCTTTTTTCCTCTTCCTCCAGTGCCTTAGATGGAAAAAACTCCAGCCCCCTCCCACAGCGGTGCCTCTCCCCCTCCCCCACAGTCTGAATGTATCATCTCGGAGCCTGGCTTGTTCTCAGGCGTAACTGTAAACGTACCTTAACCTGTGGCCTCGACTGTGCCCCCCCCCCCCCCCCCCCCCCCCCTACGTGCTGCACAACTGTAAAATAATTATCCATGACATCAGAGCAGCCTCTGTGGGAAACCGCCTCGGTGTTTCGCTCCCCTTCCTGTAATAATGGCACATCTGCATGTCGGACCACTAAGCTTCAGTGTAATGGATGTGACGTTCCGCCAGATTCGCTTGGTTCCCTGCGAGCGCGGTACGGGATGGAACTCTTGAAACTTCTCACTGTTTTTTAAAACGCGTTTGTTTGTGCCTGTCGTCTGGGTGTAACGAGACGAAGACCCCGGGAGATTAGGAGATCCCATGCGTCTGCTTGGTCATCCGCTCCGTGCCGATGGCGCTCATTGTCATTGTGACGGACAGGCTCACAGTCAGACTTGGCTCACTGGCCCAGAGCGGTCAGCGTGCCTCAATCTGCCCATGTGTCCTGCTCAGCTCCAGTGGCTGCTGGACAACTACGAGACAGCAGAGGGCGTCAGCCTCCCGCGCAGCTCCCTGTACAACCACTACCTGCGGCACTGCCAGGAACAGAAGCTGGACCCGGTGAACGCCGCCTCCTTCGGCAAGCTCATCCGCTCCGTCTTCATGGGGCTGCGCACGCGTCGCCTGGGCACCAGGTGCGAGATGGGGCCGCCGTCCGACCGGGTCGGGTTACAAAGCAGGGCGCCGCCATGACAGTCTTAGAATCCTTGCTCACCAGCACTACCCTCTCTCTCCACAAGGGGGAACTCCAAGTACCATTACTACGGCATCCGTGTCAAGCCGGATTCGCCGCTCAACCGGCTACAGGAGGACTCCCAGTACATGGCCATGCGGCAACAACCCGTGCACCAGAAGCAGAGGTGCCCCCTCCCCCCCACTCTAACACGCACACCTCTGTTAGCGGAAACCTACTAACGCACTTCCCCGTTCCACCTTCCCACAGGTTCAAGCCGATGCAGAAGGTAGACGGCGGGGTGGACGGCCTGTCCGGGGGGGCGCAGCACCTCTCCATCACACCCGAGCAGTCAGTAGCTGCCCAGAGTCAGCATCACCAACAGTACATCGGTAAGGTGCCAGCCGGGGTGGCCACCAGGGGGCGCAGCTCAGCTCGCCTGACATCGTGACCACATCTCTTACCTGTTTCCATAGCAATGACAGGGGAATTGTAGACCGGCTCCCAGGTACTGTGCCTTGTGTAATTAACTTATTTTAGCCATTAAGGCACTTCTGGCAGAGGGGTGGGAGATGTTTGAAAGGGGGAGCCACTCTCGAGGCCTCAGCACATGGCTCCTTCACGGCTGCGTGTCCCTGTGACCGTCCCGCCAGATCTGTCCCGCACGCTGCCGCCGTTCCCCACCCCCAACCTGGACTCCCACCCGCTGCCTGAGTGCCTGACCGTGAGTGACGTGAAGAAGCTACAGGGACTGTACAGGGACCACTGCGAGGTATGACCAGCAGGGGGCGCTTTCAGCAGGACCCATGGGGGGGGGGAGCGAGCTCTGAACTGCAACCACTAAATACTAAGTGACTAATGTGCGTTTCATTAATGACTAAGAGCAAAGGGGCAGAGGTGGCGCTGCTGTGGTTGTTGAATGATTAGCCTATATTGTGAAACACTTAAAAAATGTTATTGGAGCGAAAGCGAAACAAGAGCAGAGGAACATGTGGCTGATAATAGGCGTTACACAGAGCAGAGGGGGATGTCAGCGGTGCGCGTTTTACAGAAGGTTTCTGCGGAAGGCCAGCGGCCCATCGCCCCTGGGTACAGACCTGGGCTACACATGGATTTGATGTGGACTTGAGGTACAGTCATGGTGCACAGATGCTGCGTGGGCATCCAGCACCAGTGATTACCGTCCCAAGGATGTTTTTGAAATCCATGATCGGATGGCCTGAATTGTGGCCTGAATTGTGACATTAAACAAAAGTGGAGCGTGACAGCGAGTGGGCGATTGCATGGAATTGCCGACTCATTCCTCTGAACTCGGGGCTCCTCGGGCAGGCTCAAAGCCAGCTTTGTGAAAACACGGGAGGGAAAAACTTGTTTTTTTCCCCCCTTTGGATGGGAATTTTTTTTTTTCCTTTTTGTTTTGGAGTCCAGTGTTTAAGCAGTTGCTGGGGGCAACAGCAAACAAGGTTGCTATGGCAATAGTTTGAGGGAGCAAAAACATATCCCGAGACTGAAAGAAAATCTATTCTGCAAAAACACTGGCTATCGGGGGAAGGTTCTGCTTAACACAGTGTAAATCACAAATGTGGAACGGTGCAGTGTCGCGAGTCCTCACCTTGGCCTGTTGGAGGCGCTCTTGTTCTATCCCAGCTGCCGTTCTTGTCTGCTCACATGCTGCTGCTTGTCTCTCCAGCACCCGATGCACGTGTGTGTCTTGGTCAGGGATTCCTCACCCTCAGGCTCTCCGAACATACAGAGGCACTAGGGGAAGAGAGGCATTTCCTCACATAGACGGATTGCCACCTGTCAACTGCGAGCACGTACACACAGTCAGTGTAGTGCGGACTGATTCTGAGTTTATGCAATAAATAAGACGTTTTTTTTTTAACTTCCTGCATTTATACAAGTGACACTTCCACCAGTGTATCCCGGATAAGAGACCAGAGTTTTAGACATTAAAGTTAAGGTTTTATTTTTAAAGCTAAGTTTGAGTAAATAGTGACGGTGCTTGTGGGAGTATGAGGAGGAAAATGTATCATAAAAGGGTTACCGAAGTTGGCAGCTGTGTAACTGAGAGCCCGGTGTTGTAATCGTTACACAAGATTAGCTTTCATTTGTTTGCTGTGGTGTCTCACAGGCCACTCTGGACGTGGTGATGAACCTGCAGTTCCACTACATTGAGAAACTCTGGCAGACCTTTTGGTATTCAACAGCGCCCTCTAGTGACGGAGCCACTGCACTTCCTAATAGGTAATGAATGCATCCACTGGAATGGAGAACACCCCCACGAGCAATTAAATTTATTTTGTGTATGACTGTCTAGATAGGGCAGTTGAGGCACTCCAGAGATCATAAGTGGCTTTCAAAATGAACACGCCCAAACACATTCCTGTCATATTACTGCACATAATAACGTTTAAATGTGTCACGAAATATGAATGTTTCCGATGAACCGATAGTGCCCTACACTCGGGAATGGAGTGACTGGCTGCCTTGTTTTTGTGTGTATTCCTACCAAAGTAATCATAAGGCATAACAACCACAGGAAGTTGTGAAATGTGGGCAGCGCCTCCTTTGAGACTGGTCACGTGACCGAGCGCGAGCTTGCGGCTGATAGGGCCGTGTCTCTGCAGCGAGGAGGAGCCCGAGAGCTCCCTCACCAGGGAGAAGCTGGTGGCCCTGTGCAAGTACGAGCCCCTCAAGCTGTGGATGCGGAGTTGTGACCACATCCTGTACCAGGCGCTGGTAGAGATCCTCATCCCCAACGTGCTGCGGCCCGTCCCCAGTGAGTACGCGGCCCCACCCTCCTGCACCTGCGTGGATATAGCCCCCCCATAGAGCCGCCCCTCTGTGTATTCTGTTTAACGGACCTTTAAACCCCCCCCCAGGCACCCTAACTCAAGCCATACGAAACTTTGCCAAGAGTCTTGAAAGCTGGTTGACTACAGCCATGAGTGACTTCCCCCAGGACATCGTCCGCTCCAAGGTACTGCCCTGCTGTCGGCACTGTGCCCACCCCCCCCCAAAAGAAATCAGCCAAAGATGCTAGAAAAACAATAATTTGTTCTGTCATAGCTGATGTGTCTTTTGCATTCTGTGCAGAGATGATTGTCTCCCTAAAAATGCCAAGCGTTTAGTACAGTGGTGCCTGCGGTTCACGAACAATTTGGTTCACGACCAAAAATTTAGTGAAAAAATGTATCGGCTCCCGTACAATATTTGGTTGACGAACAGATTCCTCGACCAGATTCCTTTTTTTATACTAGTGCAGCACCAGCGGGGCGCATGTCCCAGCATGTCCCAGCATGCCCCAGCATGTCCCAGCATGCCCCAGCATGTCCCAGCATGCCCCAGCATGCCCTGTGTGCGATTGTAAATAGAAGGACCACAACAGGCACCCAATGAGCACCGAACCCAAATACACAGACGGGAAACGCGAGGTTGTCAGACGGTGAACTGCAAGATGCACACGCAGTGGAAGATTTACACACGCTAAATATACGCGAGGATCGGACCGGGTACACGCAAACACACGCGTGACAATAGGGAAACGCCACCATTAACATTAACAACAACACCACAAGGGTTAAGGACTGTTAATAAGGAGCGTGATTTTCCCGGCAAGCAAGTCGCTATGTCTCTCTCTGCTCCCGCGATGCCTCGGTCCGCCCGTCGCCACACTGTATTGTGTTTTTCTGTGAAGTTTTTACTATAAAACCAGAAAGTTAATTAACAAAAATTATTTGATATTCTTGTGAACGAATTAATGGAATTTCAGTGCTTTCTTATGGGAAAAATTGCCTTGGTTCGCGTACGAATTGGTTCTCAACCACTTTCCCGGAACGGATTGCGTTTGTGAACTGCAGGCCCCACTGTATTTAGTTTGGTTACTTATGGTTAAGGTTAGGGCTGGGATTAGGGTTATGTCCATAGAAATGAATGGTCGGTTCCCACAAAGACACCAACACAGACGTGTGTGTGTGTGTGTGTGTGTGTGTGTGTGTGTGTGTCGTAGGTTGCGGTGGTCAGCGCCTTTGCGCAGACGCTGCGCAGATACACCTCCCTGAACCATCTGGCGCAGGCGGCACGCGCAGTCCTACAGAACACCTCGCAGATCAACCAGATGCTCAGCGACCTCAACCGTGTGGACTTCGCCAACGTGCAGGTACCTTCCGTGCCGCATCCTCTCCCCGCGTCCCGCACCCCCCTGCTGGCGGCCTGAGCATGCCCCCCCCCCCTCACAGGAGCAGGCCTCGTGGGTGTGCCAGTGCAACGAGAGCGTGGTCCAGCAACTGGAGCAGGACTTCAAGGTGACGCTGCAGCAGCAGAGCTCTCTGGACCAGTGGGCCGCCTGGCTGGACAACGTGGTGAACCAGGTGCTGAAGCCACATGAAGGCAGCCCCAGCTTCCCCAGAGCCGCCCGACAGTTCCTGCTCAAGTGGTCTTTCTACAGGTACGGCCCCCGCTGTTCCCAGGTCTCGACTCCAGGGGGCGCCTGCTGGCGATCGGCTCTTTGATTAGAGGATTCATCATTCCGGCTGTTAGAAAATGCTGCATCCTTTAAGAGCCATTATTTTAAGAGGAATTCCCCTCTATATTCAGGTCTCATTAACTAAAAGAACCAAAAGAACCAAAATGAACCAAAAGAACTTTTGATTAATTGTGCTTGTGAAAAGGAGCATCGCTTAGGGCCGTAACACCAGACAGTTTCCGGCTGCTGACATTCCACAGATGAGCTGCACTTTTTGCACTGACTCCTTCACCCCCACTTAACGCCGAGGGCCAGCTGGCTCTGGGGAGGGGGTGAGGGGGTCGCACTAATGACCCTCTGCGCCTCCCCGCAGCTCCATGGTGATCCGCGACCTGACCCTGCGCAGCGCCGCCAGCTTCGGCTCCTTCCACCTCATCCGGCTGCTCTACGACGAGTACATGTTCTACCTGGTAGAGCACCGCGTCGCCCTGGCGACCGGGGAGACGCCCATCGCCGTCATGGGGGAGGTGTGCAGCGGGCCGCCGCTTTACATCGTGCTGATGGTATCGTTTAGCTTGTTATAGATTCTTCCCATTCATACCATGTTTTTCCCTTGTAGTTCAGTGATCTGAACTCCATGATGCCCATGCTTATGGATAAAGGTAAGCCCCGACATCCCCGACGCCCATTCGGTAGCTCGGGAGTCGCCTGGGCTCCTCCGTGATGTCGCCGCTCATTCCCCCTGTCGCCTATTACCCCCCCCAGAGCCGCCGTACCCTGACGACATGAGCGAGATGGGAAGCGATGGCGACACTTCCCAGAGGACCGGTGAGCCCACGGTCAAGAGAGAGCGTGTGGAGATCAATCACTCTCTGCAGGAGATCTGAGGGTAAAAAGGCGCTGGGCCAGCTGCCACAGCGCCCTCTGCAGGCCGGGAGGTCCACCAGAGGAGCAGCAGAAGCAGTGTATGGGGTCTCCATCTGGACTTTCTCTCCAAAGGGCCGTCCATCTCTCAGAGAAACAAGTGCTACTATGGGATTTTGTGGGACTTCACTAGGGGGTTGGTTCAGATTGTTACCCCCCCCCCCCAATTCCTCCTCTGTATTACAAATCAAACTGTGAATATAAGGACATACCTTGTACAGTACTCACTTTCTATACAAAGTACCCTTGTATGGTTGGTTGGTGGTTTGTGTACTATGTTTTCTTTTTTCCTCTTCCTCCAGTGCCTTAGATGGAAAAAACTCCAGCCCCCTCCCACAGCGGTGCCTCTCCCCCTCCCCCACAGTCTGAATGTATCATCTCGGAGCCTGGCTTGTTCTCAGGCGTAACTGTAAACGTACCTTAACCTGTGGCCTCGACTGTGCCCCCCCCCCCCCCCCCCCCCCCCC